AAACACTTTGTTAAAGGTTAAACCTTTCAAAAAGCTGTGTTTAATCATTTTCACATCTCGGATGCATGAGTTGTTAACAGCTCCACCAAATAATAATTTCCCTCAAAAATTCGTACATGGTTTCATTTCAAGAAATGTTAAAATGATTCAATTATCTCACCAAAAATCAAAGTTTAGAGAGAATTGTCATCATCTACAGACTGCAGACATTACATAAACAAGAAGGATACTTTAAGGATTGTACAGCCTAGTGTTTATTCCCTTTCGCCCTGGAGAAAAAATTAAGCACGGTGCTGCTTTGAGCCAGATGCTAACATTGATATGCTAACCATAAGAGTCTAGCATGTCAGCATGCTACCATAAGCTAATTAGCACTAAACGTAATGTACAGTTGAGGCAGATGGTAATGTCATTAGTGGGTATTGGACAAATTAAAATTTGAGCTGATGATGATGCTACAATTCAATTTCATGGCAATCCATCCAATAGCTGTTTTCACTCAAAACATCAAATGTCAACATCATAGTGGTGCTAGGGAAAACTTCGCTGATCATCAAAGTCATTAGGATTCATCATCTGTTAACCATGAATGCCTGCACACAATTTTGTGTCAATCAGTTGTGTAGATTTGAGATATTTCACAGAATAAGTCAAACTTTTGACTGGCTGGTGGCACCAGGGGAAAAGTCAGCCAGAGGATAACCACAGTTATTAGGATTTACCCTTTGTGCACCATGTCTGTAAAAGTTTCACAGAATCCATCTTATAGTTGTCAATACATTTCACTAATAGCCAAAAATGTCAACCTGCTGGTGGTGTAACAGGAGAAGTCAGAGGATCACATGGCTAAGAAAGACAGCATCAATTGTTTTAGCAAATGCCGAAAATAAGCATGTGTTAAATAAAAAAAAATTAACCATGGTGTTGAAGGTCCTATAACCTTAATGAAGCAGTTATTTTAATCCAAACCATTTTGTTTGCCTAACCAAGTTTGTTTTTGATTTTAGTTTAACCACACCACAACTACAGAGGTGTCAAATCAGACAATGGTTTCCTTTGTGCAACAGTGTTTTGTAGTAGTTTAGTTACAAATGACATATTCTGTTACTTAATTAAGCAGTTCATTAATTTTTCGGTCCCTTGCCCTGTTTCAAGCAAAAGTCATCACAGGATTGGTTTAAAATTTGCACCCAGTGAGCAGGTAGGAATTCAGAATTTATTTATCCAACATTTATCCAAGTCAAGACCAAGTTCAACCTGTAATCTTCTTCTCGTTTTCTTAACCATAAACACAATCTTTCCATCACCTTAACCAAGTGACTTAGTCACCTACTGTACATTGAACCATAATATATGTACTTGCCTTTATCCTTAACCCTATCTGAAATGAAATGACAGATAAAAAAAAATGTAGACAATAGTCCGATGCTGACAGTCTTATATTCTCTAGCTGAACAAAATTCACAAGTCAAACCATCACCATACCTTAAGAAAGCTCAGCAATGGCTTCCACAGTCGATGAATGTTGTCCTAATATACTGACTGTGCACAAATTACAGTGTGTAGTGAGACCAACAGAATTTATTTTCTTTACAGCAGTGTGGGGATTTGAGTCTTACAGCTGTCTAGTGTTCTACTGTGAAATCTAGGCTTATTGATTTCTGTGAGGCTATATTCTTTACAAAGGATACAGTGTGTACTTGAGGACAGATTTTTTTTATTGTTTTCTTCAGATCCCTCACCTCTCAGTCCCATGTCTACGCCATACAGTATTCTCTTAGAACTATCTCAAAGGAAAATAGCCCTTTTAGCCAGAAGCACCTTGACCCCCGTGACATCAAATGAATCCTTATCATGGTGGCAGAGGCAAAGAAAAACAATTGCGCTGTTTAAACATCATAAATGCAGGACAGGCTCCCTCCCCTTAGCGTCACAGCGCAGCCGGGGCTAAGCATTTCAAAGAGACTTGTGTTTGAATGACTGTGATGTGGGAGCTCAGAGTCTGTAGCTATGGATTAAGCTCACAGCAAATAGTAGCATGGAAGAAACAGAGGTAATCTCTTCCCTCTCCTCCACAGCCCTCTCACCATACCTGTTCCCCCTTTTTTAATCTTCTTACTGAATTAGTTTCTTGCAAAGCTGCTCAAACAGAGAGGGTTTTATTCACAGTGGTTATAGGGGTTAAAATAACATGAAAATGATAATGTCTCAAGCTCCTGAAAGGTCCTTTCACTCAAAGATTGATGGGCTCCTCACCTGGTTATTGTTCTCCAAAGCAACATACAGGTTGAATACACTCCCTGCCGTCTTTAAATTTGCTCCTGTGATTAAAAAAAAAAAAAAAAGTACATAGAGCCCTGGACAAACTGACCTATGAGTTTTGTAACGGCAGCCATTTATAAATATAGTCAAATTGTAACATTTTGATATAGGCATATAAACTACACAGTGTTACCTGATGTATCAGAAAACTTCATACTCACTCACTCACTCACTCACTCACTCAGTACCGTCTCCGGTTTAATCACCTACAGTGCTCCAGATAATTTACCCCGTAGCACACTATATTTGCATAAAAGTAGTTTCGTTTTGCATTTTGATGTGTTGCTTTTCAGTTTCACAGAAGATTCTCGCCATAAAAGAAAAAATTCCCACACCTGAACCACTGCACTGACTGCCTAAATATTTCAGTCTGGCTCTTGCAGCTTTGCTTTCTTCAGCTGCTTCCTGCACAGTGAAGATCAAATAATGAGCCAGAGGATTCTTATACGCAATATTTCACACCAGCTGAATATTGTAATTTTCTTTCTTCAGCTCACACACCTTCATATGAGATCATTACCAGTAAGCCTCTGATATTAACTGCTCATCATCAGTGTTTCTTCCCACTCACCCCCACGTGACTCTTGCTAATGAAAACTGCAAATAGTGACGATGTAGTTCTGAGGCATCTCTTCTTATTAAATAGCCAATAGGATAAACTGATAAGCTATTACAGGGTGTAAATTCACTTCATTTTTATTACTTATTATACTGTCCTGTCCATTTGAACTGTATTTTTCCAACATACCTTAATCTAAAATGCATTCTGTGTGTAGAGGTTGTCTGACATGGGGTGGCTCTGAAGTTCTGCTACAGTCTCGTCTACCCATTAAGTTATACACATTTTGACATTATGATGTATATTCTCTGATAAAGTTAAAATGATCTTTGCAATAATGAACCTGGCATGCAGACTCACAACCCCAGTAAGCTTCCTTTATTCATCTCAGCACAAGAGAACAAGTTTCTAGTTAAGCAAAGCATTATGCAAATACTAACCAGGCATTTACACAGGAGGCACACTTTCCTGTCACTTGATATTATAATTTATACATTTCCTCTGAAAGTTACAATTACCTGCAGTGTATGTAGTAGTCTGTCTAGATTATTATCAGTTGGTTTCTGGGGTTATAGTTTCATGTGGGATGATGTAACAGTGAATGTGCCTCTTTGTCATAGTGCTATACATACAGAGTCATTTTTTATCATTACATCTTTTTTTAATTAAGTAGTAAATCAGACCTTTTCTTCCACAGAAAATATACTTTTACTTTATACAATATACATCCCACAACCTGGATGGCTTCACTGAAGGCTTTTTTTTATACATTCATAAACACTTGCATACGTGTGCATATTAGTGTAGGTGGAATTATAGTCACAATAGGGGCAGTGAAACCTATAATGGAAATAATTGTTACACAATACAGTGATTATATAATGTCATTGCCCTAATTTCTACTAATCGAAATCAGATAAATTAAGCTGCTTTACTTTGCAGAGGACTCCCTGGAACTCCCAGAGGGACCCCTGGAAGTCCCCACACTGCAGATTGGCAAACACAGCTCCAGGGTTTAAAAAGCTGGGACAGGGGCAGGGTAAGTATGGCAACCCATATTTCAAATATTTACTGTATGGCTGTGACATTTTGAAGTTCATCTGACACTGAAATGCAACTTTACACTTTGAGTTGTTTTGTTTTGTGCTGGTGAACTCAGAGAGTTTGGGTTGGGAGGGGGGGGGGGGGGGGTGTGCTGAGCCAACATGGTCAGAAAGTAGTTGTGAAAACCTGATAGGTGTGTGTGTGTGTGTGTGTGTGTGTGTGTGTTCCTACCGGTGACAGCACAAGCAGTCAGAGGGAAAGACATGATGTGGCATCCTCTATGGCAGACAGACAGACTGAAATAGTGCCTGATGTGACAAAGTGCCCAACAGTGAGAGAGAATGGTTTTTTCCCTTTTTTTTTTTCTTTTTCTTTTTTTTTTTTTTTTAAAGACCAGCTTCCTTCCTATGGTAAATTGTAGGCCAGAGGTGGCGGAAATACGTCAGTTATGTGGGTTCTGTGAAGATCGACTGTGTCTCTTAATTTCGAATGAAGGGAATGAGAGGGGGAGAGGAGATTTTAATCACTGCTGTCGCTTTAAGGACACTTATCAAAGCCTTATTATGCGAATAGAAAATATCATGAGCCGCTGAGCAACTGAGCAGCCAGAGGACGGACTGGAGTGGATTTATAGGAAACTCAACATTATCTGAGCTGGAATAAACCGCTTCATCGCCTCATGGAGTTTGATTACACACTGGATGCTTGTCTTATTCGGACGGTTCGGATCATTTAGGAAATATTGCGCATAAGTAGCTCTCAGACTTGGGATCCTTTGCCCCTGAAGCGCAGAGAGGAATATGGCTTAAAACTCAACGCGTACGGGATTATTCACTCATCCGACAGCCACAATCGATACGTGCTCGTTTTGTTTCGGACGGATAGTATCCCGAGCTCTTTATTTGACAGCCTTGGATCATGGATTGGGGTGGTGGAAAACAACAACGGGCAGCGACATGATTTCTCTGCGCTGTCTGCGGTATGCAGCGAGGTTAGGCTTTAACATTGCTTGTTATTATTCCGATGCAACAAAAGTTACGAAGCGAGTGTAATGCGTGGATTTGAACTATTTCGCCGTTTTGCACCTGCTTTAACGGATACCGCGTCGACATAGTGCAGATTCGTGACAAAATAACGTGTGGATCCGCGTCGCTTTGCTCTCTCTCTTTCGCCTGTGTGGGATACTTGAACATTTGCTTATCGTAATGGAGATTGGGGAGGTTTATACTCAAGGTCATTGAGTGTTATAAGGCTATATTTGCTTTGTTATTTACACACACACAGCGCTATCTTCACGTTATAGCGCAGCCTACAATTGTCAGTCCAGTGTGTGTTAGGCTATTTGTTATTACGCGGTGCAGCGGGCGATTAGGCGAGCACCTACTGTGGAGTTATATTTCTATTTCTTTTTGACACTGCAAGCTTTCTCTAACAACATGGATGGGAAATTGAAGCAGGGTCGGAGATGTCGGTCCAAGCGGGAGAGGGTGCGGAGGTTGCGGGAGGCAGGGAGCAGAGACGCCCGCAGCCCCGACCCCAACTCCTCCTGCTCCGACAGGGAGGGACACAGTCCGGGGAGGGACGCCGCCTCCCTGCCCGGTAAAAAGGCGCCGCACCCCGCATCCGCCGCCAGAGCTCCGCGTCCCCCCCGGCGAAAGAGAAGGGAGTCCAGCTCGCAGGAGGAGGATATCATTGATGGATTTGCTATAGCCAGTTTCATCAGCCTGGACCGTCTGGAGGTAAGGTGGTACCCAGATCATTACCTGTGTGTGTGTGTGTGTGTGTGTGTGTCTGTCTGTCAGTATGTGTGTGTGTTCATCCTTCATCAGCAGAGTGGTTGTCAAAGAGAGGGTCCTTGAACCCCCCACCCTCGCACCCCTGTCTAATTTGTCTGTAATTTACTTGAGATGATGCCAATTAGAGTGTGGATTAGGTTCACTCTTATAATCATTGTATGGTGTCTGATTGCCCCCCTCCCCCCCCCCCCCCCCCCCCCCCCCCCCCCCCCCCCCCTCCCCCCCCCCCCCCCCCCAACCCAAGGTGTCCCAGATCAATCCTTGGTCTGATTCTCATCACGTGAGGCTGTTGACAGCTGTACAGTTCAATATATGTTTCCTTATCGGGACACCAGGTCTATGGGTCCTAATGTGTCTCTTTGAAGTCCTTGACATGAAATTGTTTGACAACCATTGCAGCACACAACTCTGCCTGCTGAATATTCCAAGTTCAAGGCTTTGTGAATGAAATGTTAATCATTGGCAGCATAAGAGTTGTTGAGGAAAAAAAGCAGGTGCTGCTGTGTCAGTAGTGGCTCTGGCTTGTATTGTTTTATATTCTGATTCACCATGAGTTGTCAGTGCACTCTTAACATTTTGCTCTTTGATAAACAGTCTATTGCACTATTCATCAGTTACAGCCTGATTCACCATGTGCTGATAACTCTGTTTCTGTCATTACTGTGTGGTATGTCTGATGTCAGAGGAATGATTTCAGGAAGAAAGGAGGTTCTCTTGTGACATCCTCTTATCTCTGTTATCTCATTACGTTCCAAATGACAAATAAAACATTGTTCCCTGTGGGATTTTAGGATGACTGACAAGCCAGGCAGGTCTGTCTTTTTTCCATGGCTCATTCTGGGAATGATAGCGCTGCTGCTGTTGAAATATAAAACACTAGCTTTAATATACATACCTAACGTATTACATATCCACTGAGGTCTGTATATTTTAAGATGATGACCTCATTTGAATGCCCATGGATCATACCACAGGCCACCTCATTTCAGTGACAACCTCCCATGTAGGCTTAGCAATGGTATTAATCAGTCGTGATTGACTCCTGCCTCCTACATCGTGCTTAGGCGGTATAATGTTTGAATGCAGATTTGCAGCATGAAATATATTGTCCATCCTCATACACAGAATGGAAGATCATCAAATCGCCACCTCCCATCTTTGACCAAGTTTAACCTGTCAGGGTCAACAGTAATTATATTGCTCTCCTACTTAGCCCGGCCTGTCATGGTGCTTAGAGTGCGTGTGAAGGCAGATAGGGGAGGAGAGGTGTTAGTGTGAAGTGTGCACGAAACCTTAACCACAAAGAACTATTGTTATCCTGTAATTGTGAGAAATATAATGTGAGACGGATAACAGACACTAAACACAACTGGGGAAACTATGACTCTCCATAGTAGCTACATGAAGTGCGATGAATTCCCCAGTGAGTACCAGAGTGAGGCTGCAACAGTGCTTTCTTAAGATAAACAATTTACGTGTTATCAGATGTGCATACAGTTTGTGTGTGTGCCCTTTCTTGTTGATTTGTGTGAGTATTTCTGCCCTTTGTCCTGCTTGGCTGCCACTTGTGACAGCTGCTGACTGTGTAAGACTTTGAAGATGTCATAGCAGCAGAGTGCCTCATACTGGCATCTTCTTCCAGCTTGCTGGTGTCTCCACTGCTGTCAACACAGTGCCCTGCCCCACTGATTTATAGGAATATTCCCTTCTGCGTGGTTGCTGCAGGTAGATGTAATTTCAGTCCAGAGTTTTCACATCTGCCCCCATTATCACCCTGTTTGTTGCTGTAGTGCAGGTTGTGTTTCTAAAAAGTTTCTTTGGATGCTTTATCATAATAGAAATGATGCCTCTTTGTGTTTGAGAGGGAAATTAAGTCAAATAATTATCTAATTTATGTTTTACACATTCCCGAGCAGTAATAGATTTCTTACTCAAGTGCTAAATCCATGTTGAATGAGCACAGTGAAAACGGGGTGCTCTACATAGTGGCTTATGTTTCAAGGCTAAGCAAATGAGGCATGATACAGCTCAATGTGAAATGATACTCACATGCCAGCTACTTGGTAATTGGTCTGATTTGCATGCAAATGGACTGCGCTTATTAAATGATGTTGGGGGATCTGGTAGACTTACATGAGGGCTTGTGCATGGGTAGGATTTTTGTGCTTTTCCTCTTGATTTCCTGGCATGTGGTGAATGAAAAGAGCTTGCTAACTTCTTACTAATTTCATTTACCGTTTGCTGTGAATGACAACAATAATCATATTTGTTTTCAGTTAATAAGCTGAAAGAAGTGTGCAGTCTTTGAACGTTGAATGCTTGAGTGGAGCTCCTGACCTATGCTACCTGTGCTAATTGCTCATCAATTATGAGGAGGACACAGCAGCATTTGGCCAAGGAATAGCTCTGACCTATTGCATCATGCTCCGATAAGCTCACACACCCTCGTCGGAGGGAGTGTGTGGTCCTCTCAACCTCTCTGAAGTGACTGATGGCCAACACGGATGCGTTTATGTCAGGTCATATAGTAAGGCTACAGTCTCATTAGCATTCTGCCAACATCAATGCAATGTCCCATCCTCCCTTGGGTCAATGAGCTCACACAGCCAACATACCAATATTTATCTCTGTCTTGTTTCTTTTAATCTCTTTCTAAGCCTTTTGCTGCTCTAAAGCACTTCAGGATGAACATGTTTCATAAAAATCCATGTCACCTTTGGGTGACAATCGCCGTCATTTGATTGTCCTATTTTGGTCTTTAACTTCTGCACAGCTGCTACAGTCTGTTCATAAGAGCCTGAGGTTATGGGTTTCTCCCACAGCACTTTGACTCTAAACACACTCAGTTGGTTGGTGTTGTTGATATTCCAGCTCTGCGCTGATAGGATCAAGCTCCCTTGATGAAGGCTTAGGCAGTACGGTGGTCTCGCCTGCTCCCGTAACCTGTTTCATTACAGCCGAAAGCAATTTGCAGCCCCGGCCGCATTTGATTACGGCGTGTTTATTTGCTTTGAATCCCCTCGTTTCTCACAGGAAAGCCGCTTACTTACCTGTGCAAATCGACTGTGCAAACACAGCCGTCCTGCTGTGTCACAGGCACCTTATCATGATTAGAAAAATGTTGGGGATGATTCACTGATGATTCAAGCACAGTCAATCAGCTATTGTGGGCTGTTGAAGAGAAAAAGCTAATATGTTCAGTGAAGGATTAAATCATCTGTTGAGTTGAAAGATTGTTGCTATTTTAGAGATGCAACTTTAAAAGTAACTGTAAATCATTTAGACAAAATATTACAATGATTGACATTTGGCAGCTCTCCCGATTGCTGAAAGGTTGATTTCCTGGAGATTGAGGGTTTTCACCTGACAGCAGCGCCACAAAACAATTACCAGGCTTAAACAAGGCTTAAACCCTCCAGAAGTCTCCCCGTGGGTATCGAACAAGGGAGCAGATAGTAAAATGACACAATTATCCATCTGTCACAGTATTAATAAGATGTTTGATTTGCTCCATTTGCTCTGTGGGTGACGTCGGAGTGGCAAATCCCCTCTTGTTAATCCGCAATCCTTCTGTTCATCTGCTTTAACATGAATTTGGATTTGTTTGGGTTTTTCGTTCCGCAGCATGAGTTTCTAAATTCACTCTAATGGGGATTTAGGTTTAGTTGATTTAGTGATATTACAACAGTGTTAAGGGCAGGAAGCTGAAAGGTCAGCCAGTCGAGTGGAAATGAGTTTCATATATAGAAGCTACTGGTGAGAGGTAGAGTTAGTCTCTTTAGTATTTTTTTTTATGTATCCAGAGACGATTTGCTAAACATGTTTGCTCTTTTTCTACAGTTTTACACACTAATCATCATTAGCTGTTGGCCACTGAGCAGCTCTACCAAAGCAATATGAGGAAATTAAGTCTCTGTCTCCAGGGGAGCTTGACAGTAGTTGTTAAGGAAGCTGTGAGTTGCTGCTAAACTTTCTTTTTCCCAGCTGGTGTGTGGATCTAAGCCAGCAACATTCCAGTTACAACTATGTGTCTTTGTATTTCATCAAGTGCTCTGATGGAGGCCTCAAGCTGAGCACCTGTTAGAAAGAAATCTCTTGCTTTTTTTTTCTAAGGCTTTTCCCTACAGTAACCAAACTTGCACCACCACAGCTCAAGTCCCATCACATTCATTATTGGGCTCATTATTATCACTGAGATAACACCATGTGCTCCTTATTAGCAGTTATTAGTACAGCTAGCACTCGGGAGAACTCACCTCTCAAATGACTACACTTAAGTCAGAACATTACCAGCCAAAGACAGTAACTCAAATACACCCTGGTTGCACCTATTCAGAGATGTGCTAACACCCTTCGAGCTGGAGCTGAAGTTGATGCTTTCTTGAAATGAATGGGTTTGACAAATTCTAACGTAGTTTGTAAATCCCACCTTTCCCCATCCTTTCCCTGCAGTCAGCTGTGTGCCTCCGCTCTGCAAGTGCACTATCTGATTGAGTAACACAGTGCTAACTGATACTGACACTCGAAGCCACAGCAGTCGTTGCTGTAGTGAGATGTCTTGCTTCCATGGTGAGGCAGCAGATTTGTTGCAGGGGTTGCAGCATTTGTGCTTCATGTTTTCTCTTTCCCCCGACGGTGATAGCGCTGTGCATCATATGCCGGCACTGACAAACAACCCCGGCTTTAATTAACAAGGCAGCCCCCCGAGGCTCCGCCGCTCATTGGTTGATGCATCCCACGGAGAGAGCTTTCTTAATGCCAGTGGGACATCCCCCAGCCCTGGCTCTCTCTAACTGTCGCACACTGTAGGCGACAGCATGGCTGATAAATGCATGATCACATTCACAAGCCTATTCACTCTCTCTCTTTCTCTCTCTCTCTCTCTCTCTCTCTCTCTCTCTCTCTCTCTCACACACACACTCACACACACACATACACACACA